AGCGCATAGAAGCCCCTCATCGCTTCTAGTACGGCAGAGGGGCATTTCCTCCTTCTCCACAGTCTGGTTCACGAATTCTAACTCATACAGCCTGACCCACTTTTCCAGATTCAACTTTCAGCATCTTTCATTCTTACCTTGGCCGTTTGTCCAGTTGTCTTCCTGACTCTTCTTTTTTCTTGATCACTGCTCGGAAATAATGGTGTATGTTAGTCCGACCTGATTTATTTTCAATCATTCTCTCAATCATTTCTCTCACTGTAACAAAATTTACACCTGTCCCTCTCTCCATTATGTTCCTTTCTACTATCCATCAGTTGCACTCTAACATCGTATGTGTCACAGTATTCAAGTGTCCACAGTATAGGCATTCATCCGTGTCAGCCTTTCCGAACCTAGAGAGGTAAATCCTAAAACACCCGTGTCTTGTGAGCTGCGTCAGGAAATAATCCAATCGTGTGTGAAAGATTAATCTGGAGATTAACATTAGTAACTGACAGTATAAAATATTAAATACAGCTGTTTTTGCGTTGCACAAAAGATCATATGGTAAAAGTCCTTTTAGGACAACTAAATTATGTATTTATAGGAAATAGCCTGCATTATTTTATAGTTATGAAATTTGATAATGTGTGGAAAATGTACAGAAACATAGGGATGATAACAAACAGCGTTTATTTTAGCATTCTGTAATAGCGAGTGCGCTAAACAAAACCTTGTACGTATACAAATCAAGCGGCGGAAGTAATCTCGCAAGAAAATCAGGACAAATCGGTGAATGTTAAGTCTAAAATATCGTGGAGGAGTGTGCCGGGCTATAATTCATTATTACGCCCCGTCCCAGAATTTATCTCGTGTCTGAGACAGACGCCGGCACACTTTACATGTAAAATGAAAGCCGTAGGACGATATTAGGTCCACCTGAATAGAATGAATTATGCGGCAAGTTATATTCTCTGAGAATTGTCTGCAGTGTCCGCCGACCTTTTATTGAAAACCCCAAACGAAAAAGTTTATGTGAGTTTTTTATTAAAATTGTACGGGGATTTGGGTGGGGATTAGTTTATTAACTTTTTATTGAAACAACAAAAGTTATTCGAAACAAAAAAGTTTTCATTTAAGGTCATCCTAAAACTCTTGTCTTGTAGGTATTAAGATGTTTTACAGTGTATGACAAATTATATCATCACGTTACATAGGACTTGTAAAAAATAAGTAAAAATATTATTATGAACGGAACCAGGAAGAAGGATAACTTTAATTTTCGTAAATATTTTCTATGGAATTATATTAGGCCGCTAATTCTTCCTAATAGATCAACTGTTAAATATGTTCAGAGTTCAGCTACCTTCAATAAACCTTTTCAAGTTACCGCGTTAGAACTATCATAAAATTCCGTTACTCTCTGATTATTCTGCAGTACCTCTTTAAAGCTTTTATCTAAATGCCGCCAAAATTTCCGTTACAGCGTTTGTGTGGAAATATTCCAAATAAGGTTGAATACTATTAAGACTACTCAAGATTTTTTTATTTTAAGTTAAATTTGAAAACAGTATTTTACCCAGTCAATTTTTTTAACTGTTCAGTTTCCGATCTTGTCACTTCTAGTCTTACTCAACATCAACCGTAACATTTTTATTTAAGCCACCTCTATTTTTTTAATAAACCATCTATATAGACCACACTTCATAGACCTTCTCCAATGCAGGAATCATTACATTCTTGTATACCTTTCCTTTCAGCCATTTCCCTATACTTTGATAAAAGAGTACCCCACTCATTGGCTCTCAGTTATACCAACCAAACTGTAACCCTTGGGCCATTTCTTGATCTATTGTCTAATTTTCCGTAATATAGGAGCTAAGGTTTATAAATTGTCTTACACATAATCATTTTTTCCAAGCAATTTAATGTCCCCAACTACTCCTGCTCCTTCCAACAAGATAAACTTCTTTTCCGACCTGCTAACCCTAAGTCCTTCCTCTTCAATAACCCTTCTCTAATCCTCTTACTTCTCTGGCAACATTTCTTTTCCCTGCAGCAATCTTAAGTATCTCGCAATCAAGGATATTTCAAAATTATCTTTTTTCCTGTTCTTTACACCGTACATGTGAGGCGCAGGCACATACGATCTTCGTGTTGATATCACCTCTACTTAGTTGGACACTGTTGCGTCCGTACATTCCAAATGTGACAAAAGCTAGAGTGGTGGCCCTCTTAAAAACAGGAAAAGATCCAGCTGATACAAAGAGTTTTAGACCTGTCTCTCTTTTGTTTCACCTTTTCAACCGGTTCTTCTGAACCGGATCGCTGAATCTGTGGACACTAAAATTATTCCTGAAAGAGCAGGGTTTACACTCGGAAAACGCTGCTGCAGTCAAACCCTTAATCTCAACCAACGCATTGAAGATGGGTTTGAACAGAAATAAATAATAAGAGTAGCGTTCATAGACCTGACTGATGCCTATGACACAGTTAACCATCAACGGCTGCTGGTAAAACTTTACCAAATTACAAAAAAATTTCCGACTAAAAAGGTTAATAAAATGCCTTCTTCAGGATACACACTTCTACTTAACGCTCCAGTCCAAGAACAGTCGCTGGAAAGATCATAAAAATTGACTCCCGCAAGGAAGCGTCTTTGCGCCATTGCTATACAACATCTACTCAAGCGACCAACCCAAAAATCAATAAACAAGACAGTTTATTTACGCGGATGATACAGCTGTGACAGCTCAGGGAAGCACTTTTAATAAATTCGAAGTAAAACTGACAGATGCCCTAGAAAACTTAGGTTTGTGTAATCCTACAAATACCCAGGTGTGTGATTTCCACTTTAGAAACAAGCATGCCCGAAGGACACTGAATGTCACAATCAGACATACTTTGTGTCTGATTGATGTAAAGAAAGTGTTTGGACAGAGGAAGAATTAAATATGTAATCCATCTTTTGTATAATATAGAAGCTCCCCTAAATATTATAAAAACTACCGAAAACATCTACCAAAACAACAAAATGGAAGTCAGAATAGATGGACAACTTACAGAACCTATCGAAATAGGCAGAGGAACAAGACAAGATAATTCATTGAGCTCAATGCTCTTCAATTTGATCATGAATGAAATCGTCAAAAGCAATAACAAAGGAAGAGGATACAGAATTTGAAACAAAGACATTAAAATACTCTGTTACCCAAGATGAAGATAGTCTGCAAAAACTGATTCACAGATTTAATATAAGAGAAAAAGAATTTAATATGACAATCTCATATCAGAAAACTAAAACAGTAGTTAGCAAAGAACCAACCAGATGTAAAATATAAATTGATGGCATCAGTATTGAATAAGTAATGGAAGTAAAATACCAGTCCCAGTGAAGAGTTCAATAGCGGAGACCAACTGGAGGAGACTTGAAACCACAGAGACATCGTGTTACCGAATCATAGACGGATCAAAATGGGAAGAAAAAATAACCAACGCAACCATCAAAGAAAGAGTCCAGTACACACCACCGAGGGAGGTGGCTCCGAAAAGAACAAGATACTTTTTTTACCAGGCCACAAGAAGACCCACAAACTGATCGACCACCTTATCAGAGTCTAGCCGGATGGTTGCCGAAGAACAACCAACCAGATGAGTAGGTACGATGCCACAAAAAGTACCTAGAGAAGAAGACGTCAGGATGCCACCAACAGAAGTCCAGGAATCCAAGAGGAAAAATCATCATTATCAGAAGGTGCAAGAGCGGGACGTCGAGAATAAGAAGTGACATATTAAATTTGAAATGTATTTGAAATGTGGCAATAAACGTTTTTATTTTTATTTTTTATTTTTATTTTTATTATTATAGTAAAATACCTGAGAATTACACTGTCTAGCTATGGAGACCTGGACAAAGAAAGGAGAGATCAAGTACAAAAAGCAAATAATCTTGCAGGATGCCTTAATAACACTATATGGCGAAACAGACACAATTAACACGGAGATGAAATCAAGAAGTATCGGACGATAGCGCAAAAATGGAGTGACAACCTTCATCATCATCATCATCATCATCCAGCCCCATTTTCACATCAATTGTTGGACATAAGCCTCCCCCAAACGTGTCCAGTTCTCTCTATCTCTAGCTGCTGCAATCCAGTTTATTTCTATTCTCCTTAGGTCGTCGGTCCATCGGGTGGGTGGTCTGCCTCGACTTCGATTGTCGGCTCTTGGTCTCCACTGCAATAATCTCTTCGTCCATCTTCCGTCTTCCATTCTAGCAACATGTCCAGCCCACCTCCACTTTTGTTTATTGATTCGCAGTATAATATCGTCTACGCCAGTTCGTCTGCGTATCTCTTGATTTCTCAGGCGATCTTTCAAGGTCAGGCCCAGCATTGATCTCTCCATTCGCCTTTGTGTTACCCTCAGTTTTTCGGCAGTAGCTTTCGTTAAAGTTAAGGTCTCTGCTCCATAGGTCAAGACTAGTAAGATCCATTGGTTAAATGCCTTCCTTTTCAGGTGAATTGGGATATTTGTTTTAAAAATGTCTCTTATCCTTCCATATGTGGCCCATCCCAACGTGATTTATCTATTTAGCTCGCAGGTTTGGTTGTCTCTGGTTATTCTAATTTCATGACCCAAGTATGTGTATTTATCGATTAATTCTACCTTTTTGTTATTGATCTGTATCTCTTCGCTGGGAACCATATTCATCATCATTTTGGTTTTCTCGAAATTTATCTCCAGCCCAGTTTCTTGTAGTATGTCATTCAGTTCTTGGAGCATGTCTTTGATCTAACAAACCTTTCATAAAGATATTAATCCGCCAATGAACAAGCAGAATTGCTTATAAAGATAAAGAAGAAGAAAATAGACAAACTTTTCGTAGTATGTATTCGTATTTTAACTTTAGCCTTAAATTAACAATACATATTTATTTTAAATTAATAACCTTATTTGCTACCCCCATACTTTCCATGTTATAAGTTTGTTGGAAATATATAAACAACTGAAGTAAATCATAATAATTTTTTAATTAAAAAAAACTTAACAAGGAAGACTGTTAAACTTTTTAAGGTCAGTCACGGCTAATAAGGACAATATGCACGCATCGTATCTATAGAACATCTGTTATAGCAGCAATCGTGGATAATTCCTAAAACATAAAAATTTTTAGTTAATTTCCTATTTAGCAATAGAAATATAATTTATCTCAAATCCTTTATAAAAGGTATATAATAAAATGCCCAAACGGGCTATCACAAATATATTACAAAACGTTTTCGGATTGTTGAGCCACCTATGAGCCACCAAAATATATGGGTCAAAACCCTTTAAATGATATTAATTTACAGTTGCTTTACATTATATGTGGTTACAAATTATGATGTTTAAGTTACCGTTGGAATTGGTAACATGGCGACGTATGACCCTACATAGGTAAAATGGTCCTGAGACGAAGTGTCTTCGAGGACCTGTTGATAACATGTTATATGTTGATAACATATAACATGTAACATGTAACATATAACATGTACAGTATGTACACATATAACATTTTTTATCGAAAGAAATATAACGTCAGATAGTTGGTGTAAATGTTCGGCGTTATTTAGTTGAGATATTTCCTGGACGATAAATTGGTAGACAAGGTAGAATTGAATGGCCTCCACGTTCACCCGATCTCAATCCTAAAGATTATTTTTATTAGATATACTTGAAAAATTCAGTTTACAAAACTTAACCAGCAAGTCTTGCAGAGCTAAGGCAATGAATTATCGATGACTCTCGAATAATTTCTAGACAATCATGGAGAAATGTGGTAGACGCATTCTACCTTCGATTAGGGTGCTGTCAACTCACAAATTGAGCATATTTTGAACACTTAATAACGTAACTACTATGTTAAAAAATGTTCTAAACTATCAATTGTTACGTTTTAATGTATTTGAAAATAGTTAGTATTAAAAAATTTATTGAAACAATTTAGGCGTTGCCAGACTTCGGTTTTATGTATTTATGACCTTCCAGATTACATAAAATCATAAGTGTTACATATGGTTGAACTTGTATTGAATAGGAGATTCCAATAATGACTGAATATACAGGGTGATGTATTTGAAAAACCAAAGTTACTAGTAATATAAGAAAAACTGAATATGGAATATTCGTATCCCAAAATAGGCGTATCTCAAATTTTGTATAATTTTGTCTAGTAATTTACGAGATAATTAGCCGTTCCCATACTTTTGGGCCACTCTGTATATGATTAAGTTAATTTACATTGAATCTATACTTTTATTGTTAACCTATATTTTAACAATATTTAATTTAATGATGACTTACCTCCTAATGATCTTTTATACATCCGGGGTGTGTAGCCATGACTTCTGCATACTAGGGAAATCATTTGTGTTAATCGATGACCGCAATATTGGTATTCTAAGAGTGAAGAACTTTTCTCTACGTATAAACCATTTACATAGTAAAATGAAAACATCAAAGCACACAGAAGAAATATATATTTAAGCTGCATTTCTAAAACGAAAAAAAATTATTTTATCCCATTTGTTCCAATAACACAACCTTAAATTAAAAGAATTTTTAATAATTATTTTTTAGGTATAAAATAATATCTTTAAAAAGCACCTTAGAAAGAACTAAAATGTCTAATCGACATAAAATGTCTCACTGTCAGCTTATGCACATAAGATACATATTTATTGTAATTGTGATTTGTGATATATCTTCTTCAGTGGGATCTCTTTTCTCCAACGTTGTTTTTATTTATGCGTTCCACCGTAATCCAGGGCGTCCTCTTTTCCCTCCCAGGATTTTGACAAGGTGGTAGTTTTAGCACAGTACTTTTTATATAATACAAGCGGACCCGACTGACTTCGTTCTGTCAAATAGATTTGAAATGTGCCAGTTTATTTCTTTAATTCTCCTGAACAAAACCGTCACCATGATGATAGGGCGGTGTGTGAGGGTCAGCTCGGGTGACCTAAGTATCTTCGCTTCCACACACTTTGGCCACCATTTTGGACCGAGCGGGCATGTTTTCGACACTGAAGTACCTGAGGGTCTTAAAAGTACTCTTGTTTTGGACGCTGCCAGAAGGATTATCGCAGGTACCAAATATTAGATATAATTAGGGTTTAATGATGGTCATTGAAATTTACTTAGTTACTAGTTATTAGTTTGTCAGAGAATAGTCAAAAGTGAACATGGAAATTTCAACGTTAGTAAGTAATCGTGGTAAAATTTTGCTCAAAGTGAACAGTTTTACTTTTTCTCAAGATAAAGTACTAAAATCGGGAGAAACGTATTGGAGGTGGCTCCAATACGTACTAAAATCGGAAGAAACGTAATGGCTCAACCGAAACTGCCCAAAAGTAAAGAAGAAACTATTGCTGCGGTAAATATTATGAATATCAAAACACTTAAAGACGAGAATTTTATATTTGCGGTTGAACTAATTTCTAACATTATCATCTTCTCGTGTAACACTAACATGCGTTTTCTGTGCGGCAGTGAAACGATTTATATGGACGGTACATTTAGTTAATGTGCTCAATATTTCAAGCAATTTTTTACCATACATGTATTTATCAATGGACATTATATACCATTGTGTTATTGTTTACTTCCCGACAAATCGAAACAAACCTATATAAAAGTATTTAATGTTTTGAAACGCAAATGTGAAGTAATTGGTCTAAAATTCAATCCAAAAATCATTTTCTCCGATTTTGAAATTGCTATCCACAATGCTGCGCATTTTGAATTTCCAAATGTGCACATTAAAGGGTGCCGTTTTCATCTTATGCAAGCTTAGTATCGTAATATCGGTGGTTGTGGCTTAATTTGGGAATATAAATTGGCAGACAGTGAAATATCTAAATGGCTGAAATATATTTTTGGGCTGCCATTTTTACCTCCCTCAGAAGTCGAAGAATCTTTCATATATGATTTTATGACTATTCAACCAAAGGATTCAAAAATTAAAAAGTTTTCCGACTACTTATTGGACAACTACATTGGCGACCACGCAACATTTCCGTCGGAGATGTGGGCTGCGATGAGTGAGAGTTTACAATTAACAACTAATGCTTGTGAATCGTTCCACTCGCGTTTTAATGATAAGTTCTACCATGCTCATTCAAATATTTTCCATTTTATTGATGTTTTAAAAAATTTTCAAACTGAAACTTACATTAAAATTAATAGTGTCTGTAATAGTGAAAGTAATAGACTTAAAGATCCAAAGAGTAGAAAAAAAAATTATGTTCGTTAGAAATAGGATACATGAGTATCAAACTAACTTTATCGATCGATTCTATTTCGTAAAATGTATGTCGTATTTAGTTCAAAGTGACAAATAAACCTTATCAAGCCTAATCTCTAGAATTTTATTACCTGACTTTCTGATTGAAAAATAATCTAAAGGGATAGTGGGAACACCTTTAGGGACAAATATTTATAAAGTGGTTGCTTTAATAACAAAATATAGAGATGATTAATTAATTATAATTAAAATTATAACATAGGGTTAATAACCGATGTAATAAAGAATAATGAAATAAAACGTATATAAGTATTTTCAGTAATCGCTTAATTGTAAATCAAGTGAATCATAATTATTGTTTGTTTTTTTTCCAACAAGGGAACAGGCAAAATACAATTGACCATGTGAGAAACATGCGTTTTTTAGATTAATTCTACAGATACCTAATGATTGCCTCTGGGACTTATGGCCATAGCAAAAGCAAACTGCACTGTAAATTGTTGTCGTTTAAATTCAAATGGTACATCAGTTGGAATCACTGGGATGCGTGGTATCAAAACGTCTTCTCCTTTATACTTTCCTTTCAGTATAGTTGCTTCTATCACGTTGTTCAATAATTTAATTATCGCTAACCGTGTGCAGTTGCAAAGACGCGAATGGTTGATATTTCCAAACAGTATAACTACCGATTCAACATTTAATTGAAGATTGTGAAGTGGCAATCCTAGGAATCCAGTGAGTTTAAAAATTCACACTGATAGTTGATGACATCGTCTTGGTTAGTAGCCGAATCAACGGATTTATATATCCTCAATTCGCCTGTAAATTGTTCTGGAATTTTGAAATGTATTTACATCTATGTTTGTTTGCAGCCAATATTGGTTAGCTCAACTAATCATGGTTTTTGTAATTTTGAGGAACATCTGGAAATACTTTTTGAATAAGTTCATCTTTTAATCAAGTTAACTGACAAAAGCTTTAAGGAAAGTTAATGCGACCAGTCAAGGTGTCTATAGGAAATTTGCCATTACCAATGTCAATTAGTTGTTTAAAGAACATTTCTCCAGATTGGTCATTTTGAAACGCATATTCTTGCTAAAGTGTAATACCATGACATGTTTTCACAAATTGGAGAAATTTAAACATGCATTGAGTTCATTAGCTGGCGTTGATCGTTTAATCACTGGCAATGTTTGACGAAAATATCCTGCTAATAAAATCATTGCACGACCAAATGGGTTATGATTGCTCTGTAGATCTTGTAAGGTTATATCTAAAGCCTTCAAAGATTTTTTATGTGCCATCGTGCATTAATCCCAAATAATCATTTCACATTGCTGCAAAACCTTTGCCATTGCAGAGTTCTTCGAAATGTTGCAGGTTAGAGTTTTGTTGCTTTGCATGTTTAGTTAGAAAATATTTGTATGGAAAAAAGAAAAGGGCTGTTTTAGGGTTTTCCCAAAAGTTATTTGAATCTTTTTCGCCGTTAAAACCATCCTTAGACTTCAAGGAACGTTTTAAAAAAGAATTGTTAAGATTGGTCCATGCGTTGTTGAGTTACGCGCTTACCAACACATTTTGCGATTTATTTCTATATTATAGATGTAAGAGATGAGATAGCAAAAGAATGTAAGAAAACCTTAAAAAAATACTGTATAGGATAGAAGGAATTGTTTAGATCAAAGAATATATGTTTTTGTCTGTTTCATGGATTATGAAAAAGCAATCGATAATGTAAAACACGAATTGATGATACAATACCTACAAGAGTTCAATTGGACGCCAAGGATATAAGAATTATAGCCAATCTGTACTGGAACCAGACAGCAATAGTATGTCTTCAAAATTTTAACGAAATAGAAGATTTCTCCATTAAAAAAGGAGTAAGGCAAGGTTGTATACTGTCTCCAATGCTGTTCAATTTATACGTACAAAAAGCCTTCGCAGAAGCAGTGGCAGACTATAATAAGGGTAATAAAGTTATGGCATCAGGTATGCCGATGATACAGCCATAGTGGCAGATAACATCGAAGATCTTCAATGCCTTTTAAATAATCTAGCTCTTGCAAGTGAAGCTCGGGGTTTGAAAATAAATATCAAGAAGACAAAAACAATGATTGTAAGTAGAAATAATTACCCCAACGCAAAGATATATGTCTCTGGAGAAGAAATCAAACAGGCCAGGCAATTTAAATACTTGGGTTGTTTGCTGAACGGGGGTTAAGACCCCGAGAATGAAATAAAGATCAGAGTTGAACAAGTCAGAAATGCTTTTTTGAAGCTTCGTAAGTTTCTGACTGATCGCAAATTGGACTTCAACCTCCGATACAAGATGCTTAAGTGTTACGTGTGGCCTATTCTCTTGTATGGAATGGAAGCATGGACGTTAAAGGCCAGTTCCATTAACAAACTTGAAGTGTTTGAAATGTGGTGCCTGCGTTGAATGCTTAGAATATCATGGACGAACAGGGTCAGAAATGAGGAGGTATTCAGAAGAGCGGGCTTACAGGATAGGGAACTTTTAGTTACGTAAAAAGTAAGAAAACTGCTTACTTGAGGCACATATTACGAGGAGAAAGATAAACTTTTCAGCAACTGATACTCGAAGGGAAGATAGAGCATAAAAGAGGTCTGGGACGTAAAAAAATGTCATGGCTGCGCAATATTCGACAATGGACAGGAATCCACAGCTATGAAATGCTTCGCAATGCTGCTAAAAATAGAATTATTTAATCCTGACTATTAAACATCTCACCTGACAAGACGATATACGGTGGACGCTTACGTAGAAATACACGGCACCTTAAGAAGAAGAAAAAGTATAGGATAGAATGGAATCCAAATGATAAATGAAGAGATAAAAGTATTTGCAGATGACATAGTATTATTCACCGAAACAGCAGGAAAACAAAAGTACCATTTAGAAAAATGGAACTTAGTGTAAAAATTACTAACTGAATGTGAATAACAGAAATACACAGATCATAAAAATATCAAGGAAAAAGACACGTGTAACGACGAGTCCAAGCATCACCGTTAAACCAGCGTGCGCGCGAACCAACCCATGAAGTAGGAGTGTATCGACAGTAGAAAGGGCAAAACTAATTACCAAGCTCCGCTATGTTAACCGCAACATTTCCTCATAGAGGCAGAATCGACAGGTGTTGACTGAAGGTTCTCTTCTTCCCTACCCCGGCTTGTGGACGTGTTGAGTTCACAAGTTGTTCCGTTCCATACCGCCTCTACCCGAAGAGCGTGTTGAGCTCTTCATTACCCGTACTCCGAAGCAGTCGTGTTGAGACTGTCGAGGAGTGTCCTATTAACCCGAATCACTTAAGGGACGTGTTGAGTTCCTTTCTTTTCTTTGTACCTATCGTCCGCTGTTATTAAATCGATACAACGTTCACGTAAAATTTCAAAAACACACTCGCTTGCCGATAAGACTAACTTCATACGACAAGGTCAAACTTAATTTGAATAAATAGGCCAGGTACTGAGAAGACTAAACTAAATTGTAAATATGTACATAAGATTTTTGTCAATTTAATTTAAGGAAGACAATAAAGTTTTATTTTTATTTTGAACTCTGTCTCTGACTGTCCAAAAGCTACCCGGATAGTGATTCCTACGAGAGGACATCACACACGGATCATCAAGTCAAAGTGGTGACAGTTTAACAAAAAATAAATCAAACAGGCATATAAAAACACTTAACAGTAATTAAGAACCAGTTAAGCTAAACCAATAGGGAACGAAAAAGGAACCAATAAAAGAGTGAAACAGCGTTATAGCAGAGATAATACGCAAGAAGAACAAATCTTGGCAAGAAGTAATACACTTGGCGAAAAACAGAAAAGAAAGAGAAGATTCGTCAACAGTCAGATGCACGTACCTCGACACCTAACGGTAGAAGGGAAATTATTATGTATGTGTGTAATGGTAATAAAATGTAATACATAGAAAAAAGCAAAATGTGAAACTTTTTGCACGAATTTGCAAGAAACACGATGGAAAAACTGCGCTTTTAGTAAAAAAGAGAATAATTCGTTATGAGACGACAATATTTAAGAGAAGTATGAAAATAGAAACAAAGAAACTAACATTTTTTAACTGGATGGGCAGTGGATTAGAAAATAAAGAATATTTTGTTAAAAAACATAGGTTATAAATTTTTGTCAAGCGTTTATCAAAGGTTCCAAGTGGTAAAGATTGTCGTTTGGTTATTACTCAAATTGGAGCAAATAAAGGAGTTTTCTTTAAAATGTGTCAGTTTGTTTTAAACTCGAGGACAAACGAACTAAAAAAAATAATTTCGATAAAAAAATAATTATTAGAAACTTCGCCTCCGGTAAGTGCTGGGTGGATTGAGGAACTCAGTAAATGTTGGTGCCGGTCCCAAGCCCGGATAAAGGAGGAGGGTTGAAGCGATGGGCTAGCAATTCATCCCTTGTCAAAACAAATAAATGCTAAATATTTCGACCAAAAGCCTCGGAATACAAAGGATGGATCAAAACAAAGAGGACTAATGCAACGGAAAAGGAAAATGATATTGGCTACATGGAACGTACAAGGACTTAGATCCAAACAAGCAGAGGTGTTCAAAGAATTAGCGGAAAGAAAAATAGATATATGTATTTTCACCGAGACCAAGAAAAAGGGAAAAGGAAATGAAGAGATAGAAGAATATATACCTGCATATCTACAGTAGAGTAAGTAAGGATAACAGAGCTAAGAGAGGAGTATCTATTGCCATTCGAAAAAATCTTAAAAACAATAATAAATCGTGGATTGAAGTAAATGAACAACTGCTACTACTGGAAATAAAAAAGAATGGACACAACATCGTAATTGTCGGAGTGTATGCCCCAAATGAAGATGCAGATCAAGAAAGTAAAGACGATTTCTATAACAAGATGAATGAAATATTCTCTGAAATTAAAGAAAACTGTGAAATCCTTATACTAGGAGATTTAAACGGCAGAGTAGGGAGAGAAGAAAATAACAGAGTCGTAGGAAGATATAAAGAACAAATAACCAATGACAACGGAATGCGTCTTAGAGATTTTTGTGAAACAATGTCTCTCAAAATTATGAATGGATTTTTTCAACATGGAGACATCCACAAATTTACATGGATACAACCTACTAATACAATCACAAACACTTACTTATATGATAAGTAAGTGTTTGTGATTGTAAAGCAATTTTTAAAAATTTTAAATGTAGGAATAAGTTTTATGTAAAAATATGACAGACTGTGATAAGTTTTATCGACATTGTAGAAAATCATTGATGATCCAACCTCATTAAGTTTCTCCCTGATGAAGGACATAACCATGTCCGAAAGCTCGGAATAAAAATTTAAAAGAGTACACGTATCATTTTTATTGCTGCAAACCCAATATTGAAAATTTACTTCCTTATTGTCAGCAAATATTTCTAGTTCATTATATGTATATATATACAGGGTGGTGAATCGGCAAACGGTCCATAGGAAACTCAATGGTAAATTCTAAATTGTTGAATTCCTGCTTCCCTAATTATTTTACACCAAAAGTCATGGGAAACTATTTGTAGAGGACTCAAATATGTACCGAAAACAACTGTTAAAATTATTCTACGACTTAAAGGTATTCCAAAATTTTGCTAAAATATAATACATTTTTCTGTGAAAAAATGTGTATTACGTGTTGCGTTTTGTCATATTATTGTTTCTGATATTTGACAATATTTAAATCAATTATATTATATTTATCTATGATTTAAATGGCCAAAATTTTATGATTTAATGTTTAAAAAAAATTAAGTTGATTAAAAAATGTACTCAGTTGAAGAGAAAAAAGCAATAATAAAAATGTTTTCTTCATGTTTTATTATAATATTTGTTATAGTTTTATGTTTAGAAATAATCATATATTATTATTAGGAATAAAGATCACAGTAACAGTATATTGGAATTCATTGAATAGTTGTATAACTTAACTTAACATGGAATTAAATTTTAGTGAATTAGAATACCTATCTTACGTTAAATAAAGATCCGGTAGTGGCAGGAAAAGGTTCGCGCCGTTATGCGATTTTTCGTCAACTGAGTACATTTCATTATATTGATCGATTTGTAAACAATATTATTTATTGTTCACAAAGTAATAATGTTCAGTAGTAGTAGTATTTAGTAAAATTCATTGTTTATAATTTAATCATAAAATAAAAAGATTGACAATTCAAATTGTCAAACATCTGACATTAATAATGATAAAACAAACACATCCTAATATATATTCTTGCATTACGTGTGGCCTAACTTTTAGGGGTGGTCTGAAAAATGTATCACATTTTTTTAAAATTTTGAAGTACAGTTGATTTGTAGAACGGTTTTAACATGTGTTTTTAATTCAGATTTTAGTCCTCTACAAATAGTTTTTTATGACTTTTGATCTAAAATAATTAGGGAAGCAGCAATTCAACAATTTAAAATTTCTCATTGAGTTTCCTATGGTCCGTTTGACGATTCACCACCCGGTATATATATATATATATATATATATATATATATATATATATATATATATATAATATTATTAGAATATTATATAATATTAAAAAAGCCATTATCTAACAGTAACTGGAAAGAAGAAGCTCTGAGATTAATTAATACGCAAAGAAATAAAGCCAAACAAGAAATACTTAAAAATGTTCCTTTCTAGTTAAACAAATTACATTCATCAACATTTAAGAAGTATGTTGTAAACAAAGTAGTAAAATAAACAAACAGCAAACATTTTGATATATTATACATAGAACAGTAAAAGACTTTGATAAAATAAACTGTCATTAGGGGAATCAAAAAAACTTTCATACTTACTGCTTTGTTAAATACTTTTGTAGCAAACAATTTACAGCTTGTTAACAACAATATCACAAGTGGACAGTACCCAATTTATAGTTGCATTTGGAATTTTGCACTACTGACCTTATTTTTTCTGATAAAGATAAAGCTAATTTAGAAGTATTTGTTATCATTATGTAGAATATAGACAATAATATTTCTAAGGAAAAACCCGTCGATTAAGTAAGTTTTGTTATTTTAGAAATAGAAATTGTATCCATAATAAATAAAGTAAACTGTGTACGTTCAAATAAGAATAACAAATCTTTTAAAACATATTTTGTAAATATCGTCAATTTGTCAAATTTTAATTAGAAAAAACACACTGATTCCATATGGTATCACTGGGAGCTTATGATATCCAATTTACAAAAAAATATATTTAGAATGATACGAAACAAAACACTTTACATATAGTCCAACATCACATTTTATGTATTGAGTCCTCCCAAATGTAGTATGTACAATCAGTACAACAAATTATATGATAAACTCCCAGTTATTCCATATGGTGTCACCGACATATTTGGTAAGATATAAATGATTCAATAAATTTAAATTTGGCAGTAAGGGTATAAACATTTGTTTTATTAAAAATATATTTTTTCGAAAATACTGTTAAAAATTATTATATAGATAAATAAAATTTACTTACGCAAAATTCTTCTTCTTCTTCTTCTACTTTTTGTAGATCTTTCGATCTGTTTAATTCTGAAGCTGCCTCTGGTTAATTTCTTGGGAGGTGGATTGCCAACTATCCCTCCATCTTTTAGGTGGTCTTCCGGGGGGTCTTGAACCGGGCGGGTTGTTTTCTAGGGCAATTTTTGGGAGTCTATTCTCATCCATTCGTCTTACATGGTTGTACCACATCCTCTTGCGCTGCCTTCCCCATCTTACAATATCTTGAATTTTGCACTGCTCTCTAATGTTTGTATTTCTCGCTCTGTCTCTTCTTGTTTTCCCCATTATTGTTCTTAGGGTTTTCATTTCGGCAACCCTTAGCATCTGTTTCGTTTTGTTAGTATCTTCGCGCACTTCTATGCCATATGTCATGATCGGTCGTATGCAAGTCTTATAGATTCTAATTTTACTATCTGTGCGCATATACGGATTTGACCAGACTATCTCCCGCAGACATCCTGACAGTGCAGATGCTTTGTTGATCTGACTCCTCAGGTCCTTTACTGGGTCGTGGGTGCTTGATATATCTATGCCCAGATATCTGAATTACATCACCTGTTCTATGGGGTTGTCCTCAACCACTAACTTACATCTGAGCGGATCTTTTGCCATTGTCATACATTTAGTTTTGTTGGTAGAGATATTCATATTTAGTAGTCGGCTTGTTTGAAAGAACTGAAAGAGCTGCCTTGGAGATCATCTTCTGATTCGGCAATAATTGCTGCATCGTCTGCGTAACACACCATACCAATTCTTTTGTTGCCCATTCTATATCCGAGATTAAGAGATGTTACTTTGTTGATAATTATGCCCATGAGAAGATTAAATAAGAAGGGGCTTAAACTATCGCCTTGTCTAATTCCTCCCGGTGTTGGAATATTTTCAGTGAATTCGTCTCCTGCTCTAACTTTGGTTACGTTGTTGTTATTTAGTTTATGGAGTATCTTTGTTATACTGGTCGGTGTTTCATTTTCTATTAATATATTTAGAATGTCTCCCAGGCGAACTCTGTCAAATGCCTTCGTCAAATCAATGAAGCAAATATACGCTGGCATGCCGAACTCTATAGCTTTTTCTTTTATTTGTTTTATTATAAATACTGCGTCTGTTATAGACCGCCCTTTTGTAAAACCTTGTTGTTCTTCAGCATTAGTGATTTGCTTTTCCAATTTGTCCTTGAGAATACCCGTGAAAAGTTTCATTGTTGTATTTAAGAGGGTTATTACTCTATAGTTTTGTGGGCAGGTTTTTTGTCCTTTTTTAAATATGGGGATTGTGATACTATTATGCCATTCCTCTGGTGTTTCTGTTTTGTTTAATATTTTGTTAAATAGTTGTGCCAGTTTACTTGCAAGTTCCGGGCCTCCATATTTTAAAAGTTCATTGGGTATACCATCCATTCCCGGTGATTTTGAACGAAAAATTCAAGTCCATTTTTTCGACCCAACTTCGACAGACCAAATATTTGAAAAATCACACTTACTCTACAAATGTTACAAACGCAGCAATGAGCGGTTAGTCAATAAATCAATAAATGTTATTCTCGATAGAATGGGGAAGGATATCTTTATTGCGATTGGAGAGAATAACGTTTAGGGTCGGTTGACCCTCTTCAGGCATCAATTTGATTTTTGTAGATTAGGCAAACATACCAAAAGTCACCGGTGAAAAGCTCTTCTTCTTCTTGATGTTTTGCACCTTTTTCTTCTCCTGGAGGAGTTTTTACGACTTACAGGGAGCCAGAGAACCAGGGATAAAGGTTTTGCTGAAAATGGTGTTCTTTTCAGAGTAGTCGTGTGTGTTTTTAGAGCTAGATGCGACAAGACCGGATCTCTAGTGACCATTAGTCCTGTGCAGTCTCGAGCTTAACCCGGCCTCGAAACCAGTGTACTGCACTGAAATTTCGTGGACGAGTGTGCTCGTGAGTGGAGGCGCCTCGGCTTTCGAGAGTCGGTTTGTCGCATTTCGCTCAGTGTGAATGTGTGTGAAATTCCAACAGTGACGGAAGCTACCATTTCAGTGTTACAGATTCCTCAAATCACTTATATTTTTCCCGGCCGACCACAGACTCCGTGTAAAGTAACGGAGGCTGCAGGCGGTCGGGGGTCCCGGTGATGAGGATGCATCGGTAGCATGGAAGAGGACCCCTTTCATTGTTGGCATGTGTGAGTGTGTGTTGTGTAAATGTGTGTGTGAATGTGTGTGTACTGACTCGGCAGCAGCTAAAACCGTGTTCTCTAGTAACCATTGTTTACGGCCAGGCTTCATCGGAGTTCGATAGACTGTTCCAGTGACTGCCGATTTAGGTGAGAAAAAAAGGCGGCTATTTTCTCAATTACGGACAGGTATCATTGAGTAGCGAGATTGGGAAACCGCAAAAAACCAATCTCCTCCTGTCCGGGGTAGGGAATGGGATGGGTAATAGACTAGGTACGGCGATAGGCAAGTGGAGTGGCCTCAATAATGTCGTAATATTCTGCCGAAAGTTCGTTAATGCATGTTTGCATTAAGATTGAGGGTGGGTGAGGGTGTTTATTTTTGGGAATTCGGGATACTACATGACCTCTGAAAGAGCAGGAACTTTTTAGGGTATCTTGGGTGTTAGACGGGGGACCGTTGACGGTTCTGAGAGTAAAGTTCTTGTTGAGAGTTTTTATTCTCTCGAGAATAGGGGTGGTGTTCGGTGTTCGATGGATTTCACAGGAGGGGAAGTGCCACCGTTTTCTGCATGTTCTACGCAGAATCCTACGCTCCGCAGAGAGCAACTTTTTTCTCTGACGTTCCTTAAGAAGACGGTATAAGTGAGCCTTATACTCTATAACGGGTCGAATAAAGGTTTTATAAGTATGTGTGAGAGTTGTATTGTTTGTTTTGCCAAACGTCCCTGAGAGTAAAACTAGGAGACGGGCTTTGTTTCTGACCCTATCTAAAGTTGCCTTTAAATCAGGTTCCCAATTAAGCGTCTTAGTGAATAAAACGCCTAAGTAGGAAGCTATCGGGCTAGTTACGAGCCTTTCTCTCATCAGATACAGGGGTGTTTGGTCATCTTGGTTGATTGCGAATAAACATCAAGGAAGGTAGATATAGATAAGTTCCAATGGAAGCACTTAAAGTTTTAAAATTTTCTACAGGTAGCGATCATAGTTTGGTCTGGTCAAACATAGAATCGACAGCCAATCTGAAAGCAAAAAATTACTGGTTAAAACTATCACAAGAAAAAACAAGTGCAATTTATAATCGAATGTTATAATCAAATGTTAAAATCCATTAGGAAACAATTTGAGATAAACATATTTCCTACGTTTTTATTTACTTTATAAAGAGATTTATAATGGGAAAACTACCCTAGAATTCTCTGATTCTACAAGTAAAACAAGAGCTTTTCCATATCAGGAAACAATTATTTGCGTACGTTACATCTGGAGTATGTGAATTTGAAAACAACTGTTCAGATAGCAAACTTTAAATTTAATCAGAAACTTTTCTACAAGAAATAAGCAAACAAACATTTTGGAATCGAAAACAATAGCAGCTGCTAAATTTAAAACTCGGAATTTTGATTGGCAAATACACCCGCATGGAAATACATATAAATTTTGAAGAAGAATTTGAAAGAGAGCGCTCAAAACTTTTCAACTTTTATTGATGTTGAATGATCAGGATGTACACTTTTAGTTGACATTTTTATAAGCTGTTCTTTCTTGTCAGAATCTAAAAATCCACTAAGTGATTTTTAAATTGAATGGAGTATAAATATTTGTGACATATTGCAATTTAAAAATATAATACGAAAAATTGATTATAAAAATTTGTCAAAAAAAATTCAATATACAAAGAAAAAGAATGAGTTAAGGTGAAACATAGAAATATTAAAAGCAGAAAAATGGAAACTCTGTCACATCCTCATGACAGTTCAAAAACTAAAACTAAGTTAAAATTGTTTTCAACTAGTAATAGGTTGCATCCACCTACCACGTGTTAATAATACCTCTGTTAAAGTTTTGAATTTTTAAAAATTAATTATTTTTCCCACACTTACTTATACATTGTGTGTCAGCCAAATGGAATAAACTAGCTAATAAATAAAACTGCCAATGCAATAAGTGAGGATACCAAAATTAGCTGTTGAGTTTAATAAACACCCACAAACATATGTTCATATTTGAAAAGCAGCCCCAGTACTCGATATTAGCTATTTGTCGGTTATTGAAATATTAAAAGAAAACAAAATGCATCACTATAAAATTATACACACTCAGAAGCTTATGGAAGATGATTTTGACAGGAGAAATTATTTTTGTAAACAAATGATGGTAATGTTAGACAGCAATGTAATCCAATTAGAACATGTTTTGATTTCTAATGAGTGTACCTTTACTCTTCACGGTCACGCTAATCATCACAATTGCCGCTATTGGTCCAGCGAAAATTCTCACTGGATGAGATAAGGCAATACTAAATACCCTGAGAAGGTTAACATGTAGGCAGGAATTATTGAAGATCAGATCATAGGTCTCTTTTTGTGCCAACGCTGGACAAATTGTATCCTGATCCAGGAAATTCACAATTTCCAGCGAATACCATATGGTTTCAACATGATGAAGCACTGTCCACTACCAAATCCATGTCCGGCAGTACCGCAACCAAATATT